CTCACTCAGTACCAGAACAACGGTCCCAAGCAGTCCCAAGCTATTTCACTCACCCCTGCATGTTCTGCATGAATCCACACACCCCTGATGTTATCTGTCAAACTTTCATAGCGAATCAAAACAAACATAGTGTAGTAATAGAATTTCAACTAGAATAGGGTACGTTAATCGTTTGCTTGGGACCAATAGGCTACTAAAGTGGTGAGCCAATTTAAAATCGTTAGTTTCGTATTGATTGTTGGTACAACAGTGTACTTTGTATGTCTGGACAAGGTCTTAAGATGTATGAAATTAGATCTGTCAAAATGAGCTTGACAGCGATCAGTGACTTGAATCATTAATAACATTTGTTCTTGAAAAGTGGTCTTGAACAAAATTGTGGTCGCTAGTCTTTTTTCCAATTGCTAAAATATTAATCAAAGTCAACTCCTCGTAGCATCGCGTTACGCTGATATGTGTCAGCAACATTTTAGACCTCCTAAGCTTCCAATAATGGTACCATTCATCAAACTATAGCACATTTTATTCGGAAACAGCTATTAACTTTGAACGACTATTCGGTTTTGAACATTTTCGAAATTTTGAATGTAAATTTAACTTCCACACTTGTGTTTTTGCTAGAATATTAATATTAACACTTTAGCGGCGCCGGTGGTGTAGTGGTAAGCCTCTCACCCCAGCAGGCCTGGGTTCAATCCCAGTCGGCGCCGCTGGGATGTTCTGAGGCATAACATCTCTGATCACGCCTTCCTTCGAAAGGGAAGTAAAGCCGTTGGTCCCCGGTTCATGAGTTGATGGGTCGATAGGTAGGGTCCAGTTGTGGGAGCTGCCTCCCTGGCGTCGGTAGCATTGGTGCTCAGCACGGAAAACAAGATCGACGGAAAACAAATCAAGGAAAAAAATATTAACACCATGGTTTAAAACATTTTCGACTAAAGATATATTAAACCTATCATGCTGCAGCATACTGCTGTAGTTTTTGCACAAAAAACTAAAATGTCGATTTATATTGTTTTTTCAACGCCACTGTTTGAATAGCACGATTTTCGTTACTTACAAGTGTTCCTTTAATACTTGTATCCTGTTTGTTACAGGTCAGATGCGTATGTTGACTAGTTTGAGTCTTCCTTTCAGTAGATAATCGATCATAAAATAGCAAATGGCGTCATTGGGAAGTCGAAACGAAGCGTTTTTGGTATTTACGCTTGTATGAAAACGTCGCTTCGTTTTCGTTACATAATTTGACCCCAGATCTATGATATTTCGATTGTAACTGTAGAAAATATTACTAAGCGATCCTTCCTAATTCTTAGTCATTTTGAGGTGAACTAACCAAATGTCAGCTTGTAACACAAATTTGAGGTAATTAGGTCGAATATGAACAGTCGTTGTAATTTGATACGCCTTGCTGAGAGAGATTCCAAATCAATCAGGATGCATCGGTCTGGATAGCTAGGAAGAATTACTGGATCATTCCATGGGAGCTGATGTGGGGAGTCCGCTTTGAGAATCGTTCGAGAATGGTTGTGTGTTTTTGCTCCGCTGAGTGCTTTCATTTTATTTTTAGAGCTCGGGCTATCTTTGTGCTGGCGTGTAGTTTTTCGGTGCTCGCATTTGAATAGTTTTGCTTAGGTGCCTGGTGTGCTCTCGCTTCCCTTTTTTGCCGGTGTGACTCGACCGCGCTGATCTATTATTTAGTTTTTTCGATATGCATTGCTTTTGTGCACAGAGTGACTTGAAAAAGAAAAAAGATATTTAGTTATTGTGTGGTTGGAATCGCTGAAGGAGGAATTGTTTAAAAATGACTAGAGAAAAATAAGCATCGGGAATGCGCTCCAGATTGTTCTTATACATTTCTTGATTGCATTTTTGAGGGGACGTGTCTGCTTTTGTGGGCAGTTTGGTGTGGCTGGTGGTGGTCGGAATGCCGGTTGCGCCGGATTGAGGATCGGATGCATTGTTTGCGGGAACGGATGCGTCCCTACGGGGGAGTAATCGAGATTTATTTTCATCATTCCTATTCGTCAGAGAAATGACCTTAATTGCGTGAAGCATGTTCTGCGGGTTTTTACGGTTAGGTAGGGTAAATTATGGCTTCGGCACCCATTGACTGTTTTCGGCAACCGAAATTGAAACGTTAATTTCACTGTATTTTCCTATCAAAACTCTTCGCTGAATGTATTAAGCCGATTCCTTACCTTTTCAGCTTCAATCTGATTACATTTTTACAACTGTGCAATCCTGTTATGCCATATATTTCTTTAAATGAAATATACACACTACAAAATACGGCTGATTTCGAGTTGCCGATAATAGAACAGCTGGTTAACACGCAGTTCAAATGGAAAGGGTGCCGAAGAAAAAGAGACTGCCGACAATAGTCACTCTCACCTGAGAAGTTTGGAGCGTTGTAAAAACATGTTCAACCCGTTTTGATCAATTCTGTCGATTGGAATTGGTAGAACAGCAAGCAGCAGATAAATGTCAACAAACAAACTTGTCATGTATGTGTGTGACGCTGAGAAATCTCTAATAGAAGTTCGGACGCTGCTTAGATTGACGAGAATACGTAAATTCCCCTATCTATTAATAATCCATTATGATTTTTTCTTTTTCATGTTGAAGCATGATACGTTAAGAAAAGAAATGTCGCGATCGAATATGCAAGCTTGGCACTTGACCGATTACTTTTTGTTGTGTTGTTAGGTGTGTCCTAAACATGATCATGAGGGCCGTGGTTGAAGACTGACGGTAGTCACGGCGGGTCGTCTTACGTAAGGACCAATCGAAACAACGAACGTCGCGTAAAATAGAATTAAATGAAGGGGTAAACGCGTTTTCGTTCCTTTTTTGTCTCCAAGTTCAAAAGATCATCGGTAGTAGAGGCTTATTCTTGTGTAAAGGGCACCACCGTAAAGTTTGAGTTTGAATAAATCCCAGTTCTTATTATTTTATTATTATATATTCAATTATAAATATTTAAAACAGGATCAAAACACAACTGGAAGAAGCAACGTAACATCAATTGATTTTCTCAAATGTAAGTTTAACGTTTATATGACAGTGAAATTAACCATTTTATTTTTCCTTTTCAGGAGAGAAAATTACATTACTTGTTGATATATTTATTTGTATACTTGTAAATACGTATTTAATCAGATTCGAAATATGAGTGATGAAGAAGCTTATTGTGTTCGCGAGTTTTCCGTTTAGGCTGGATTTATTGATTTAAATCTTTTAGTTTATTTTCAGCTCTTCGATGATGGAACATTTTTAGATTAATATTATAATGATTCACTTTTTTCAGCCTCCGTTCAGGAAAATACAAAAACATTGTAATGCATGATTACAATTGCATGAAAACTGTTAACTGTCCAAATAACCTTGAATTTTCTGAATATAGATTCATTATTAAAGTTTACCAATATTTTTAAAAGTATTCCATATTGCTTTAAGCCATTCCATGGTGCATAATAAAGTGTTTGAATAATTCCAATAAAATATCAAAAGTTGAAATCAGTTCAATGTATTGAGGTTTACTAAAACCGAGCTAATTTGTATTTTTTAATACTTGTTTATTTTAAATTCTTTATATTTTGTATATTGCATGACTAGTAAATTACTTTTATTTCACGTATTTAAACTCTCATTATATTATTAAACTATATTTTTTTTTATTTATTGAAAAAAGTTTTCCTGCAGACCCTGAAGGACCCGAAGGTGTATCAAATAGCATATCATTGTTATTTACCTTTTATTTTATTATAATATAATATGATCGATGGTGAGATCTTTCCTTTTTATTTATTTATACATTAACCCCTCCCTATCGTTAAGACATCAATTCAGCTTATCGTTTACCAAAACGAACCCTGCTGCAAACCCTACCCTTATACCCAACCCAATGATTCTTCGTGGAAGTGCAGAGGCTTCCATCAAAGCGAGTGTCACGTCAACACATTCCTACACGCAAACCAAAAATTTATTACAATGAATGTTAGCTCCATTTCCTATCATCCTCTGTTCTTGAACATCGCAGCGAATGTTAGAAGTTAACTTTGCAGGCGATGTAATGGTTTTTGTCTTTTTTTTTGCGAGTTCTATTTACGCTTTCGACTATACCAGTAAGCTTTTTATTTATAATATTGTAGAACGACGCACACATTTGTCTCGAATCTCTCCAGCAGAAAAAGCATGCGAAGTCGAGTAGTAGAGGAAATGAGCGCTTCATGTTTGCTTTTAGGCTATCCATATTCAGAAGCATGGAGAGAGCAGTGGAGAAAGCACAGGTCTGATTATCGCAACGTTCGTGGTTCGAGTCCATTCGGCATCCTTTTTCCTATTTTTTCCAACATAATTAATTTCACTCACCAACTCACTCCACATTTTTCGGTCTTCAAATTTCTTGCGTTAGACCGCAGCTAGGTATATCGCTTCCTCGGTTCATGCGGTCTCCACTTACATTCTCTGATGATGAATCCCACTTAATTGTAAGCGAATCTTACGCCCCCGGTTGTGGGTTTACACACTCGATGTTTCCATGCATTTGCAGTCTCGTTATTCGCGAAAGAGAAAATCGATTATGAGAATCGATCAACAATGATAGGCCCTTCACAATCCCCTAAACAATCAATTTTTCCATATGATGTTAACTCCTATCCTATAATAGTGGAATCCATTAGAAACCAATGCGTTGCACTATTATAGCAACCAAAGTTAACAACTACCATGTCTACTGAAACAGCGTTTTTGATAAATGTTATATTTTTCTAGCAAAGTAGGTTGAAAGCTATAGTTTGACACGTAAAAATTGAACACAGTTTTAATTTGTAATAAATAAATTGCCTTAGTTTCTCGACTGCTGGCTCATTTCTTTTTCGGTTTATTAAAACAAAGACAATCATAAAATGTGCAACATGTACTTAGCATATAACGTAAAACAAAGAATCATCCTTTAAATAGCCATGTGATTTTGATGCGCCAACACAATCCGACATTCAGGGATACTGGGTTTACTCACAACATGTTCTTTAGCTGGTATACTAGGTTGGTCAGCTCTTTTTCAGTCAAAACACGTCCCTGTGCTTGCACGCGGGCATTCATCTCATCCAGGGTAACTTGAATGAACTCGTGCATCGAGTTCGAAACGATGTTAGTGATGGTGTTGTTGAAAATGGTAGTGATGATACCGACGAAGATGTTGGTCATCCAGTCAACTAGAATGTTGCCACGGAATCGGATGTTTAAGTTGCTGTCATGAAGAAAAGGAAAGAACAGATAGAAGCATAAGAAAATATGAAAAAAAAATCACTCAAGAGTTAAATAAAATCTGACGAGATAAACTACAAATCCTTAAATCCACCGGATGGTGAAATCCCAGACAGGAAATGAGTGTGACCGTGTGTACAGTGAGGGGAAACGAGCCATATCCTTGTTATCAGCACTTCACTCTGACGTTCTCTACTAAAATGATATGAGATATCGTTCATACCGACAGCCCTTATTGAGTTGAAAGTGAAAATTATCAGGCAAACGAGCAAAGAAAACTTTTATCATAACACTTTTTTCGTCTGTTTCAGCATCCCAAGCGGTTTCCTACTGTGGCCAACTAAACATTTGGCGTGGCTCACGAACCCTGAAAACTCAGTATATATCTAGCTTCTCTAGCTATATGTGGAATACATACATAGGTATACTGTGGCTAAACGTTGTTGTTTTTGGGATAAAAAGTCGGCGACGACTTTGAACGGTGTACCACCGCCATGCACTCACTGACAACTGGCTGCTGATGGGTACTTTTATGAAACAGACCCTAGTCGTAAAAAAGTTGTTATCGTTTTCGGAGGTCGTCGGAACTGTATCACGAAAATGTATTTAACACGTCTACCGTACGTGAAACCCAGGGGTTTTCCGGGAGAAAAATAAGTTCATGCCATGCATAGGAAGTATTCACCATCATATGGGAGAAGTCAGCGTAATCGATACAAAGTTTTCGCACGGATTACCGTCAATTGCTCATTTCAGTAAATTGATTTCCCCCTGCATGAATAGAAGAAAATGAACTGATTAAAAGTGATTGAAATCAACGGATGCTTTAATAATGATTTTAATAAACATATATAAGAATTAACCGGTATTTTCTCTATTAAAAGTTGCAGGGTTCTCGCTACTTCGTCGTATGGCACCCATTGAATTTATTTATATGTTTTCTGTCGACATGATGAAAGATTATTATTATTTTCCAAGTAAAGACGATATACAGGGCACATAACAATCGGAAATTCATGCAACAAGGAAGTGAGAAGCAAGTATCAAATCCCGAATAAATCAAACTAAACTATTTAGATTTTAAAAATAATTGCCGTCAACTATTTTAATTAAGGCGGAATAAATTCAAAACTATTGAAAAGGATTTTGATAATCCGCCTAATATACCTTAATTGCATCAACTTAATTTACATCCTGTTTGAGAGATTGGAGAATTTCATTTGGTCGATAATTATTCCTCTTCGATCCTTGTTTGGAACCTACCCGAGGTTATTTTGCTTGGATATCGATTTGGAATATTCCTCTTTTATTCTGCGGATTCTTTTAGTAATCTGCTTGGAAGCCGACTTGGAGACACTTTCTTCTGCCACCGATAAAAAAGGCAATCTCTTGACCCCCTTCTAAAGAATTGATTTGATATACTCACGGATGATGATAATGATCTGTAATCTAGTCAAAATTATATTAAACATTCCCGGCTTAATGCCAGAAAGGAAAAGATTATCCCTATTATGATAACCACTTCCGGTTTTCATGGTCTTCGCACGGAACTTTTGAATTTCGTTAAGTTTTTACCTCAAATTGGCTGTCAGGGTGAATGTCGTGTATTAGCTGAAACCTTGGACGGATTCAAACGCCTTCTCAAATATCTTACTGAGCAGCAACACAAATGCATGCGTAGGCCAGTAAAAGAATTTTCCCAAGGTTGATTTTCAGAAGCGTACCCATTTATCGGAGATGAACCAGTCTGCGGCTGAAAATTTCCTAAATAAAGAGACAAAAAAAAACTTACCCATTATAGGTCTAAATTCTTCATTATTGATGATTTTTATGCAAAACACTGCTCATGAAATAATGCTCAAAGCAATTCCAATGGAAATATTCTGGTTGATGATTGTTCTGCAGGTTATTACGATATTCAATATCCAAACACCTCAACATGCTATTCTTCTGCAAGAACTCCCTCAACTATTGATTTGGTCTTCACTGATTGATGTTAACTTTTAAGCCAATTGGTTACCTTTGCTGACTTCAGTTCTGATCACATGCCAGTAGCTTTTGAAATATCACAAGAAATAATTTCTAATCCCAACAGCTCCACTTTCTATCACCACAGAGCTTATGGGCAATATCAAACATTTATGGAATATAACTTTGATCCAAACATTCCTTTGCAAACCAAAGATGAAATTAATTATGCTCTTGAGTATCTGACTACTTCTGTATTTGAAGCAAGAGCTGCCTCAGTACCAAAATGCTAGGTTAAATTAGATTCTATTATAATAGAAGATGATCTTCAGCTCTTGATCCGTCTGAAAAATGTCCGTGCAAGGCAATATCAAAGAACACGCGATCCTGCCATAAAATTCATCTGGCAGGATTTGCAAAACAAATGAGATTCTTTGCCCTGAGGAACAAACTTTCGAAATAAGACCCAAGGTCCAATCTCTTTTGGAAACACACTACAATTTTGAAAAAAAACCTTAAGAGCCAATTCCAGCGCATAAAGAAGGTGGTAAAATTTTTAAGACAAATTCAGGAAAAGCTCAGAAATTTTGTAAGCAATTCGAGAGTTTCCATAATTTCAATTTTGGTCTTGCTAGTCCTATTGAGAATCAGGTTGCTCGGGATTATCTGAATATTTTCTCTACGGAATATATTTTTGACGATTCCTGGGGGACTGATTTGGACAAAGTAAGATCTATAACTAAAAAGCTTGAGAGTAGCTTGTGTTTCTTGGTAAAATTATTTGTCAGATGTTTCCATTGGGCATACCTTCGTGATAAATGGAAAAATGCAAAACTTGATCCAATTTTGAAGCCAAATAAAAATCCAGCTGAAGCTTCGAAGACTGAAACGCGCAAAAACTGGTCAACAAAAAAACACATTTCTTTCAGTCAAAATTCATATCACAAAAATCTTATTTTTCTTTTGGTAGTTCAATTCATACATTTAAAGGAAAAAATGTTCGTTTAGTCTTTTGGTTTGCCAAATCCGAACTGCGTGCCTTCCGCTTAACCCCTTCCAATAAATTTTGCACAGTGGTCTCATCGACCTTATTCGCCGCCGAACGCCAGTTAGACTTAAACTGCTGCTCGTTTTCATGGATTTATTAGTTTTTTTGAGATTCCGTTTGACCAAGGCCAAATACCGTTCGATAGGGCGGAGTTCTGCTGTTGGGATGGTTGTGGTCTTTGAGTATCACAACCACGTTGTTTGCATCGTACCACTCGATTGTCTTTTTCCTATAGTGGCAGCTCTCCAAGTCCGGCCAGAACAGCACAGGTCTAGCACAGGAATGATTGCAGCCGCTTTTTCAGGCACTCCTGAACGTAGATCTCTTGATTGATGGTTCCCGTAGTAAAGAAAATGCCGCTTTTTAGACCACACGTGCATATGGCCTGCCAGACGAACTTCGGGAATTTCGATAGTTTGATGGTTTTGAAAATTTCAGCCACCTTCCCTTTTCCTGGTGCGGTATAAAACTCCTGTCCCGGAAGCTGCTTGAAATCCGCCTTCACATAAGCTTCGTCGTCAATGACGACACAGTCGAACTTTGTGAGCAGTTTCGTATACAGCTTGCGGGACCGCTGCTTTGCCGACGTGTTTTGTTTGTAATCTCGGTTCGCCACCTTCACCTTCTTAAAGGTTGACAACCCGGCTCGTTTCTTGGCCCGCTGCACAGTAGTATGGGAGACAGCGACGTCCCGGATGGAGAGGTTAAGATTCCGCTTATATTTCATCGCCACCTTCTTCGTCGTCGCTGCTACGTCCGGATTACGATTGCCGCCGCTTCCAGGCTTCCTGGCGGTCGACAAACGCTCCCGGAACACTTTTGAAACGTTTGTCACGGTCGATTTGGCCACATCCAGCAATTTTGCCAACTAGGCGTGTGAGAACGTCGGATTCTCTTCCTGCGCGAGCAAAATTTTGAAACGCTGCTCCTCTTGCTTGGACGTCATTTTGACAACTGGAGAGCAAACGATGAAAACTCATCATAGCAACTATTGTATTTACACTCAACTTCCAAATACAGCATTTCAGGTTTTTTTATGCATTTTTAACAGATGTACACCAATTTGAAGTTGACCAATTTTTGCGCGTTCCAGACTTTAAGTTTGTTTTCTTCATTAAGTAAAACTTTTGAAAAGATAATTTAGAATAGAATGATGCTTCACATCAATATGAACTCATCAACTCTTAAGAGTTACGAATTTAATTCGCTCAAACAAAGGTGAAGGCTGCTCAACGGGAGTTGCTCTTCAAGACATAAAAACAAGCATTCGACAGTGTTTGGCATGAAGGTTTGATTGCCAAATTGTAAAAGTTTAATTTTCCACTTTATATCATGAAATTTGTTCAAAATTATTTAACTGACAGAACTATGCAAATAAACTATCAAAATTCCAAACATGAACGACTACCTGTTACAACAGGAGTTCCTCTGGATATCATTCATGGGGCTATATTGTATAACATTTTCACTTCGGACCTCCCTGATTTTCCACAGTATTGCCAAAAATCTTTGTTCGCCGATGACACAGGCATTTCCGCTAAATGAATATAGATATATATATATATATATATGTTGGTATATATAGATTTTTCATACTAATAAGACCAAAGTGTTCTTTTTTATATGTATATATTTAAGAAAGAAAACTATACATGAATTTGTACTAGTCGACGTCGGTTGACGTAATAAATCTAAAATACTGAGTAAAAAGATCGCTTACAGATAGGACCGACTAGGTCATTGCCTGCAGCTCGGTCGGTTTGCCGTTGTGACTAAAAGTGATCCACTAAAGATGTCCGTGAAAATAAAGCACAAGATCAAATTCAGTATCGCTAATGAAAGTGCTTCGTCTTCTAGACTTTGTAGCCTTCTATAGCGAGTGTTTTGTCAGCTCTCAACTTAGAGTTCTAGATGTACTTCCACAGTTCTTAATTGCCAACATCAATGCATGATTTTGTGTATTGTAT